GAGAGAGAGAGAGAGAAAGCGAGAGGGCGAGAGAGAGAGAGAGAGAAAGCGAGAGGACGAGAGAGCGAGCGAGCACGAGCGCGCGCGCGCGCACACGAGAGCCGTTAATTATGGAAACCAGGGAGGCGCATTCGTCTTACGGTTATCAAGAAAGCGATCGATCGATAAATTCGAGAAATTCGAGGACGTGTACCTACGCGCGTTCAGCTAATTGTTGGGCTCGCGTGCCGCCGCCTGCCATCCGAGAAACTTCAAGTTCTTCTTTCGTTACGTTATCACGCAACGAGCCGTTGCATAACGTCCAGGCGGCGACTAGCGGGGCAGTATCAACGGGATCATTTGGGAAAGAAAAAGAAAGCAATTTCATAACCCGACCGACCGGGCCAACGAAAGCTGGATCGAGAATCGAAACCGGGACCCCCGGCGGTGCCGCGCCGCGTTCGTCGCGTGTTTTCGCAACTGCGGCCGCGTTCTGTTACCCCCGCGCGTTCCTTATCGAATCGGCTACTCCTTACGTGCCCCCCTAATTGATACCGCGGCAATCGCGAGCCATTCATTTCGCGGAATCGCGTGGCACCCCGATGCGATGGCTCGGAGAAATAACGAGGCAAATTATCCGCGCGTTAGCCGCCGACGTTATTTAGTAATTATTACCGATTCGCCGTTTCAACCCCTTTCGAGCGGTCGACGAAGCTTCTTACACCTCGGCCGGGTATTTATTTTATCCGTGAAATCGTTGTCGAAGAGATGTTCAATTTAGTTTTAAACGTGTAACACAATGTCCCGAATGGAGAGCCAACGATATAGCGCAATTCGTATCGAATTCTTTAGAAAGAATGTATATCGGCAAACAACGCACGAAAGTTTCTACCGGGGGGAAAAGGCAATTTTTGAAATTCGAAGCGAAACTCGGACAGCAGAACAATGCGGGAAATGTGTTACGCGTTCTCTGTATTGGTTGAATAACGCGAGCGGGGTAGCTACCAATATGGTCGGCCTCACCTGCTTTCGACCTGGGACGCTCGCGTTGCTATTATATCAATTAAGGAAAGAACATCGCGTTCCGCGCGGAATTCGACGAACGGAACGGGCAGAGATTGTTGAAAATAATTTCCGTAGGAGCGATCGGTGTGCTCGAAAAAGCGAACTCTTCCGGTAAATTCTCTCTATCAATGAGTCGATTGAATTCCGTACGGAGTTCCCGACGCGTTACGCATTCCTTGGGAATAGATATGTGCACGTTGATTCGCGGAAACCGTTAGAACAGTCATCGTGCAGCGATAAAAAGAATACAAAATACGAATACGCGTATATACGCCGTGCGTGTATAAAATATGATGATACCGCGAATAAAGAGTAAAATTGTTGCGTTATTTTGCACGTAAATATCGGTTACCGGCGACCGACGCAGCCGGGTAACGTGTTGAACGCAATCGTTCGCACGATATAAATGTCCTAAACAAGTTGATTATCATTTCGTCAGTTGCATCAACGAAAGTAGTACGTGCAGTCATTTTTATACATACGTATACCACAGCCCGTCGCGTATCGTGTATACGAGGCATTAAGAATTCCGAAAGTAAAAGTAAAAAAGGAACGGTTGGACACAAAGTGACACATTCCAATCACGCGTAATGCCTAGCCGCTCCTCTGTTGCACGCATTCTTTTTTGCGAACGACAGTTATGTAGAATGCAAAAAGTGCGCGCATGCGCGTCCCACAATTTTCGGCACACTCGCTTTGATTACTCGTCACTGGCACGATTCGTAAATAGAGAGAGAGGGGGGGGGGGAGAGCTACCTCGCCTAAAAATATACTTACATCGGCGAAGAGCAAATGTAAACAAACAAACATAATTGCAATACGATCGCCTTAAACGTGTTATTGATCGATATAATAATAACAATAACCAAACGATGCGTAATCATTAACAAAGCATATTATTCATTTCTCGAGCTAGCTAAAGTTTGGAATAAAAATCTCTCGAATATCGAACGAAATTTGAAGAAATATAACATTCTGCAACGATCACGAAATCACGGTTAAATGACTACACATTTTCAACAGCACCTCCCGATAAATTATCATTCAAATATTCCGTAGACGACCGTCTACGATTCTACGTGTATTTCCATTTCCGTCGCACCTTATGGTTGTTTCGAAACTGGTCCGTACACGCCGGTTAATCTATTTCACATCTGCCACTCGAAATGTACATACATATACGCATCTTCCCGACGCAGGTATCGGAAACCAGTTCCGAGAAAGCAATCGATCTATTCTGTGCAACACCGGTGGAATGGTATAAATTGAATTTGCAAGATTACCCGGTGCCGCGAAAAAATTGGCGAACCGATAACGGCGCGCGCTTGCGTGCACCGGGAAGAAAAAAAGTTTCGATGACTTAAAGTCGATCCATCCGACGGAATCGTTTTAATCGTCCGACACAGACACGGCCGTATATCAGATCCTTTGATCTTTTACTCTTGGACGAATTCGCCGGCGGTCGCTGGTAACGATTTTTTAACGTATTTTTAAGCACTGGCGAGAGAGAAGTCGGCGGAGAAGGAGGCCTCGAGAAATAATCGCGTAAACAATTTATAAATCGTCGCATGTTACAGCAAGAAGCCAAAGTAGTTCCAAGCGACTCGGAAGTCGGACACAGCGTGATATAGTATGTACGTATCTACCTTGTCATAAGAAGCCGAATTCGCTATTCTGGCACGTAAACATGGCTGCATTGAAAAATATTTCGCCGTGGACGCGAGGACGGACCGTTGAAAAACGAGACAGCCGGCGGCATGTACGTGCAAAAGGTCCGGCTGTCCTGTCCCGATTCAAATTTTCCAATTTGTATGACCGTCGGGAAGGGCTACCTTCCCCAGGAAACAGGAAAGAGAAAAAGAGAGAAGAGAGGAGAAGAGAAGAGAGAGAGAGAGAGAGAGAGAGAGAGAGGGAAAGAGAACGAGAGAGAGAGAGAAAGGGAGAGGATAGAAGCACACGGACAGAGGGACCGACAGGCTGGAATGTGGCCGTTAAACCGATCCCACCCAGCCAATCAGCATCCCGGCCGTACCATCGACGTTAAGACGGGTGTATACAAGAAGCACCAACACCGCTCGCAAAGCGTGAGAATAAAAAGTAATCGGAGGTCGAGGAAGAAACAGACGGGGCGACAGAGGGTGCTCGTGATAATAACACGGGTCGATATACACCGGGCGTTATTTTCAGGCTCTTGCATTCACAGGATTCTGAAAGTGCATGCATATCTCATGGGGTTGCCAGTTTCGCAATGCCACCTTTGACCGTCCTCGAAGTTCTGCAATCGAGGCATACACACTCGTCGCGCCTAGATCACCATCGAACAGTCCCGCTCGCAATGTTTTCCATTAACCGGTAACGACTGCTCTCAGTCCCCCTCGGCATCAGCGATCGGGGCGTTCGAGAGTTTTAGGCGAATTCGAAAGCCACCGATGCCGCCGACGGCAACGGGCACGCGGTTACCTGTGCGACCATCGAACCGGGCTCTCTCTCTCTCTCTCTCTCTCTCTGTTCGGATACGGATTCGGAATAAGACTCGAACTTACCTTGCCGCTCTTCGCTGCCGGCGAGTTCTCGACGATGTCGTAAATGACGTGCGGCAGGCCAGCGGTGCCGAGGAGGGAAAACCCGAATCCGGACGAGTCGCCGCGGTTCAGGGTGACCACCAGCTCCTCAGCCATGTTTCAAGCACATTGATCACCTCACTGTCATTTGACGCACCTTCACGAAACCCGCACACCGTGCACAACGATTATCCGGCAGCCCGTGTTTTCCGTCTTTCTCTATCCCCTTTCCTAACACGGTGTGTGCATGTGTCGGTGCGTCACTAGTCAACGTTTCTACGTGCTCGCTTGACACACGCACGCACCACCCACACGCTTACGGGATGAACCAGGGGCCCCCTTCGCGAACACTTTTCGCACTGCACCGCGCGATACAACTGCCTGCTATCTCTGTCCTTCCCCTGGTTTCCCTCTTCTTTCCTGATCACCTCTACCCGACGATGCCGCCGAACCTCCTGCTACTACCACTGCCACTGCCCGTCAACGGTGCCAGACACCAGCAACATCGGACACGATACGTGGTAACGCCACTCCTGCGCCTTTTCGTGATACCGCCTCGAAAACGCGCGCACTTCGTACCTGTGCCTGCGCGAACCGCGGCGGCGTCGCGGCCAGTCGCGGCAACCGACGTCGTATCCTTGCGGACGACGCAGACACCTCCACCCTGCTCGGCATATACCTTCTGACTGGATGGCGCCACCTACAAGGCATCCCGGCGTCCACGGACTAGACCCGGACTAGTCGAAGCCTGGCAGAGCCGAAACCGAAACTCCTGTCCGGTTTCGCATGGTTTCACGGTACACCAGATGTGAAACTCCTGCCGAAAACTACGACGCTTCGTGTCTCCAGCGACTTTGACGCTCCACGTACGGCCAGCGTTGTCGTTTCTCCGGCCTCGATGTTTCCATCCCTGTCTCCTGGCCAACGAACGAAGGAGGAGAGGGATCATGCGTGCGCAAACATTCGAAACGTTGGAAAACGCGGCAATATTTGAAACGGATTGTGCTGAAAACCAATGTTCGGCAAATACAGGATCCCGGTGATTGGAATACCCAATCACTTAATATATATTATTACTATTACTTAATATACCATATATCACTTAATATATATTATTTCTATTACTTAATATACCATATTACTTAAAATATGATTTCTATGCTGTTGGGTAAGTAACCAAATGTTTTTAACTAAAGGTTGTACCCGTTTCGAGTTCCAACAAGGCGACACAAATATTCCCGTAAGATGGCACTTATAATTGCGAGTTCGTGACAATGTTTACGCATGCGCGGTGGTCTTCGGTCGCTATTTTCCAGACGCGTCTACTTGTGCACTCATGCGCATTGAAAATCGATTTTTGAAAAGCGTAGGAGTTTCATCTTTGTAAAAGTGTTTTGTGCTTCTGTCGGCACCTTTGATCTTTCTGTATCGTCTACAGCGGGCGACCTTGAAACGCTACTGCAGCCCAGTGTTGCCACGTCCTTGCACTCGATACTCGATACGCGTGCGAAAAATTGGAAACATACGAATGCGCGGGAATATTTGAATCCCAAGTGTAGGAACGCGATGCAGCAGATCGCACGGATGATCGAATGTCCTTGTACGGTGAGAGAATTATGATTTGTGTGTTTGTACAAATGTTCAAACATTTGCCTTATCGCATGCTAATATTAGATTCGTGAAAGACTGCTTCTGTACGCGTGCGCTCTGAAAATTACATCGCAATGAAATACTGTATACGCGCTTGCGCAAGAATTCTGCATGGTGACAAGGTTTCTGATACTTGTCTCCAGATGGCTGCTAAATCTTCGCAATATTTGATATATTGAAGTGGTAGAATTATTTGGCATTTACATTTTTTTTAAGCTTGAGGAGATGTTATTGGCAGTTGTAATTCAGAAAGCAGATAACGTTGACGAATCCTACGCATCTAGATCCAAACTTTAGCTTAGTTAAAACCGTTAGTTGTTTACTGGACCCTGCCGGTCTTTCACCCGAGGGGGACTACGTTACTCAAAAACTGCCGGCAATAATGCAATTAGAAATACATAAGTAATTTAAAAATGCATTTGCAAACATTTTATTTTTAATTGTTACATTGTTTGTAATAATTTAATCATATTTATTGTCGAATAAATATGCTTCCTTCGCTGTTCGAATACTTAGTTTGAATAACACCATAGACATTTGAATTTAAAAAACGCACGTAATGAAGCATATAATCATGAAACAATTACTAGATATTATTTAAAAAGGTGCGTCAGAGTATTGCACAGAACCGTGTTTGTTTCCAACGAAATAACTATGTTGATATATTTTTCATTTTAAATCATATCTTTTAATAGTATGTGGTATACATACGTTTAATTCTTTATTTATATTTCATAACGTAAACTTCCGTAACTTTAAGCTAGTGATTACCGTGTATCACCAACTGGTCTGCATTCATATCCCGAACGTGATTTGACTCAGATAGTAGGAATAGCAAATATCAGCAAACATGGAGCCAATTGCACATCTCGTCAAGATATCTATTCCTAATTATTTATCTGGATTGCCGATTCCAGATTCTATAGGAGGATGGTTCCGGCTAGGAAGTGAGTAAATGAACATTCTATTTTGTAAATATTCAATTATTTCGGAAAATCATACAGAATAACAATAGAAAGTCGATAATTTAGCATGTCACGACAAACTTATTAACTACTATATTGCTCGTAAGATTACTAATAATGTGAAATTAATTGCACTTTGTCCTTTCATTTAGTACGAGACTGGATATCTTTAATTCCACCAACTGCCATGCTAGGTGGCATCGGTTATATGTCCTACAAAGCATTTTGTCCGTTAGCAAGAGGACCGGTAAGTAACCTACCTGTTACCGAAATACCAAGGACATTAGTAACATATTACGGTATATTTCACTTTCCCATTCACAGATTATGTAACACCGTGACACGTCGATAATCTTTAATTACCGACATTTTGCTCTCTTTCGATAATATTCTATACTTTTGCTTAATATTTACGATTAATGAAAAGTGTATATCCACTATCAAACTGTCAGTATTTTTATTCAAATCCGCTTATTTGTAAAATTATGTTTTTCAGCCGTGCGGACGTGTTAACCACACGATTAAAAAAGATGTGGCTAAAGTAGTAGATTCTGTTGATATAGAAGATATAACCGAGAAGGCTGTGTTCTGTCGCTGTTGGAGATCTAAAAATGTAAGTTCTATAGTATTTCGGTATTCAGCATAGTTGATTACTGACCTACATTAAACTTATCCAAGAATATGCTTGTGACACACACGTTATATAATCACAATTTCCTCAGACGGAGCAACTAATATTTCTGTATACATTACCATTTATTATTCGTAGAGATAAACTGGCCTACTAAAATATTAGTATCGATAAGTATTCTTGTTTATTTCAGTGGCCGTATTGCGATGGATCTCACGGACCTCACAATCAAGAGCAAGACGACAATGTGGGTCCCCTTATAGTTGCAAAGAAGAAAGCTTAATGAATATCGCTGGGTTCACAAATGTCATTGTATGTATATATATATATACTTGCCATTTACAATGTCATCGATAATTTACACAAATATTCCTTCAACCAACATTGTAGACATCTCATAGAGGAGAGAGGTATGTGCTAAATACGCATATATTAATTGAGCTTCGAAACTAAAGAAACGATACGATCTACCAAATGCAAAATATGTATTTGTTACCTGTACCTATTTTTTAGAATGTGATTTAAACAAATTTATAAATAAATATATTGTTGCGCAAATTTTTTGGTTTAGTAATTGTATAGGTTTTAGCAGAACATTGTAATATTTGTATCTATCACATTTTATACAGGTAATTTTTACTATTAGTATAATTACAACGTTTATATTATTCGGTTTATCGTCGATTAAATTGCATAAACGCTAAAATAAAATACTCTTTATTTAAAAAAATACTCCACTTATTTATTTTACTAACAATATGTACACGTTTATCACATACGGTATAATATAAAATGAAAAGCAAAAGTGATAATGCTAGATTACAAAAATTTAATACGTATTAAATAACAATCGGAATACTACAAAACAATAAAGTATATCGCTCACAAGAATCATTTAGGGAACCGATACATTTCGTTCTAGCACCCATACAGTTTCAAAAACACGCGGACACGTTGCTGAACGATCCGTGTGTTATCATCATCGTGTGAAATAAAATGGGAAAATATAAATAATAGTAACGTTATTGTAATCGACTACAGGAGCAGGAATGAACGACTAACTTGTTGAAAAAGTCGGGTTGTATACATACATATAAAACAATTATTTTACAATAAATGTATATAACATTATCCAAATATATTTGGTTCGTTGACTGTCAGTCGCAAAGCATGTCCTTAGTATCACAGATTAATGAATCTTTAATAGGTGTATGATAGCAGCTGTGAGTCAGCTGTGAGTCATTCGATCGTACCTCTTTTCGCAAATTCCTTAACTCTCCTCGAATTACAACTGAAACAATGTACAATACAGTTACAAATCGACGCACGGTCGTTTAACGTTCATTAACATATCACTCACCTCGAAATGACGCAAATCATTAGTATCGAACTCTAGTTCGTTAACGAGTAACTCCCGATGGCCGTACCTGTACCTGGAAACGATTCGTTTCACGCATATAAAACACTTCGTTGGTCCTCTATTTAATCATTTTGAAAAACTTGTTCCGCAACTTACTCAACATACCGCCTCCAGACGATCATTCCAATGTATACTGTTGCGATCGCGACGCCAAAACTCATCGCAGTAATCAACGCGATCACTCCGGATGGCATACTTTTTTTTCGTTCCGCCGATTTCACTTGTGCAACAACATCTCCGGGTTCTTTAATTGCTCCTTTGTCTGCTATCAGCGGCGCTACCGAATTAGTCGATACCGTGGTGCCATCGACAGCGACAGGCTGCACGGTGCTAAATATCGTGCCGTTTCCTAGATAAAACAATTCGTTGACACAACGTTCAAATATTCATTTCTATTCGATTTTTTACGTACGGGGCTTATGCGAAACATTCACAGAACTCCTGTATCTTGCAATTAATGTAAGACAATTTGTATTCCGCATAAAAATATTCAGTCTATTCGCGTAGCCTGCGCAACATGTATGTTTTTTGTACCTGTGTCATTCGTGTTTTTCTCGTGACTCGCCTCGGTGGACACAACTTCGTAAACCACATGATCCGTGGGTTTCGTCGAATTTATCATAACTATAGTGACGTTGGTATTACTTTTGCCATTATTATCCACGGTAACCTTCTTCTTGTTGTTATCATTTTCCTTGTTATCATCCTTATTCACCTTCTTCTTGTTGTTAGTTCTATTATCGTTCTCTTTGGGCTTCTCCGGCGAAGGTTCCGGCGTCTGAGATTCCGTTTTATTCGCCTCGGGCTTCTTGGTCACGGCGCTCGCGATTGTTGTTGATTCTAATCAAAGGTCAAAGATAGATCAAGATTCAGCCAATTTACTTTAAATTTCTGCCAGTTGTACCTGTCACGGTTTGCGTCGCATTCTCGTCCACGTTTTCCCCGCTATCGGACGGTGTTACGTAGCATCCTTGCATGTCCTCCGGCTCCTTCGTCGAATTGCACTTTTTATGCTTCTCCGATTCGCTCGGATTCGCTATGTGCTGCGGTATCGTTCCGGGAACATTAGTCGTCTTCGGCGATGCAGCAGTTTTGTTAACATCTACACCCCCTGAATATGAAATAATAATGCAACGCTGATAAAACGTTCGCAAATTCATGACAGTCGCCGGCAGTTAAATCGCATGAAACGGTAAAAACGCTTCGTCGAACGTTCGATTCAACGTTCCGGTCTCACGTTTTGTAAGCAGAGCCGCGCCATCAACTTCTCGCGATCTAAATGTCGGCCAAGCCGACGCGGGCACAAAGGACCAAAAATCGTTGAAAAGTTCCACATTGTACTCACCCTTCTTACTTTCGCCGGGATCGACCGAAGTTATCGCGTCCGAGCTATCGTTGATCGACGGAGAGTTCGTTGCATCGATCTTCGTCTGCGGGATCGCCGAAGTCTCCGTGGCACCCTTCTGGACCACCGCGTTTGGTAACACCGTATTACCGCTTACTAACAAAGGACAGAAATTCACATTTGCAGCGTACGCGGCGTTCGCGAAAATCTCGCGAATTCGAGCAAAAACACGCGGATTCGAGTATTCGTATTATTGCCGCGCGAGAGACGAATTCGATGATTCCGCGATCAGTCGGCGCCTCTGTTATCTTATTCCGATGTCCAATTCACGGTATTTTCGATAATCGCCTTACCGAGCATCGAAATGATCGCAACGGTGACCACGGGTAGCCGAAGCATCGTCCTCGTGCTCTCGTCCCGTCCCTTCAGCGACTCGAACACCCTTTGCAATTTCCGTTCTACCGTCGCGCCAGCTCCTCTCTTCCAGCTTTATCGCTTTCCGCTGTAATTGCGTGGCGAAATCGAATCTGAAATCAAGATGATAATTTTCAACTTCAACGTGACCGTTGTCTATAACCACTCGAAACGTTCTATCCGATATCTTAGATAAACTAGACACATAACAAACACATTTTCACATCGGACTCGGCATTTTTAGAAGCTACCGATACCAACGAGCACGACCCGAGGAAACATTTCTTCGTTTAGTTCCTGTAATTTTATTGTTCGAAATAGCGGTAAACGGCATTCGTGTCGTAAAATGTCAGTAAACCGAGCAGCAAAGATATCTCTGTCGGGCAATACATTGTTCTTTTCGGGGAAAAAGGTCCCTGGCACTACCCAAATTACGAGAGAGTTTTATTACGTCCCCACCCTCGAACAACCCCTATTAGTTCGCCCTCTCCGACTCCAATTTGTTCCCTCGTAGCATCGGTATCAGTATCTCCGCTTTACCTGCGGCGACTTTTCCACTCTAACTTTTCCACGAATTTCTCTTGTTTACTTCCGGCCGTCATTACAATTTACGGAACCTGTCAAAATGACGGGTTCGCTAATTCTTTAATTTACGATTATTCATATCGCAAAGATGCACTTACGAGTTATTTATTCAATTCATATGTTACTCACGGTAAATGTTCAAATAACACTTGTTAAAAATCAGAATAAATGTCTCATATCGTTACATTTTTTAACGTAAAACAGCTGTTTCTTGTGCTCCGTGAATCCAGCGTTAAACATCTCCGGTCGCGTCGACGATTTGCACAAGTAGAAACAACGCGAAGTGAAACGATCCAAGAAACGATATGGAACAATATGAAACGCTAGCGTAGAAGAAGAATGCGCAACGCGAAGCGAACGAGAAGAGAAAGAAGAAGAAACGTGGGTGGAACGTTGCAAAGCCTGTCGTTTACGTTCGACGTAAACACCGAACAGAGTGCAATTCTAGTTTCGCACCGTCACTTTGCGGCGAGTAAAAACGTTGCCACCTAAATCTAATAATAAATCGTGAAAGAACATGGACGCAAAGACTCTCATTCATATTTAGAATTCAGAGGTAGCCAAATGGTAAAATCTCGCATTGCATTATTCTCCGCCGTTGACGCGAGGCGAAAGATTCTCTCTCTCTCTCTCGAGCGCCTCGTTCGCGGTTAGAAAAACCAGAAAAACCAGTTTTCGAAGGAAAATTTTGAGAGCGCTCTTTAACGCGGCACCGATTCACGACGATAAAATCCGAACACCGTTCGCGTACGAAACCCGCCGCGTTAATTATTCCGTCGAGCATCACGCGGCAGCATTGCCGCGACACGGAAGGCGCCTACCGATCGACCGGAAAAAATTAATGTCCGCCACCCACCACCGTTTTCGGATCGTTTTCTTTACAAAAGGACAACGTTTTATCGGATAGCAGCGGTCGGTGTCGCGCTCGATGCCGATCAACCTCGATCATCGTTGCAAAATAGACGAAAGCTGCGTCAGCTACCGGTGACCAAGATGGCGGCCGCAACGTCGACCGGGATCACCGGCGATTTCGGTGGCAATCTCGGGAAAATTCTACCGAAATGAACACGTGCCAGATTCCTACGGCAAGGTTACGTATACGCGGGCTCTCCTTCCTCGGCAGCGCGCCGACATTTTTACGGTGCTACGTGCGGCACGTGCTAATGAGAAACATCGAACGGGAAACGCGGCCTTTAATTGCGGAAAACGATTGGCCGTCCAGATAGAATGCGATCGTAAGTTGGCCTCTTTTTTCCGGGAACGAAATCTCCGCGTAACACGCTTTTTACGCCTCGAAGAAGTTATCCGACTTCGAAGCGTTCGAACAAAAGCAAAACCGTTTCTAAAGAAGACTCGAACGCGTCCCGATTTCTCGGACTGTGAACTATCGCGCCGAGACGTAAAACACTTTCAAAGGATCGAGGCTGCGAAACCCCGAAGAAGTTCGCGAGAAGTTGAAGAAACTACGGCGTTCGCGACTAGGTTTGCGATGCAGATAATTGCGCCGTACACGTGGAAGCGGGGATGAAAACGCATAGAACTGTTCACCGTGTTGAAACGTCAGCGACTATCGGTGCACAGGGTATTCCGAGAAACGCGGCACGGCTCATATCGCACGCGAAAGAGAAAGAAAGCGAGCAAGCATAATTACCTTTAGGACGGTTCCGACGGTATCGCCGATAATTGCGATATCCAACTATCTTGTACACGGTTTATCGTACGTATCGAGTGGCCGTGCCGATAGAACGGTAACCAGTGAACGTATTTTTGACGAGGTCACGTTCGAACGAAACCCGTGCCGCGAATGCCGCCGCCAACGGTTTCCAATAATATCAATCGCGGGAGGAAAAGTTCGCGCGAGGTCGAGGAGGATTAACCCAATTCCGCGGGTCGTGTGCGCGCATAATACACGCTCTGATAGCGCATACCTTCGTCAAACGTGAAAGTAAAACGTTCCACTTTTTCCCTATTCGTATAATCGTTCGCCGTGGAATCGCTACGCCGCGTCCGCAAAAACTGCGGGAAACGACGTACGCCGCGCGTCTCGTCGGCCTCTCGTCGCGTCTCGTCGCGACGCGTCGCGACGCAGCGCCGTCGCTCCGGCAGGTGCTAAAGCCGACAGTGGAAGAAACGGCGTAGGACGATCACACGCGACGAGGCAAAGTTCGACCGCGATTACACCGATATTACGACCAGTTACAGCATCCCACGATCAATTGCATTACAATTTGACCCGCGACTCCTTTCGCGGCCGTAGAAAATAATAATCGGAACACTGTATCGGCGACGCCGTTTCGCCGCTTCGCCGTTCACTTTTCACCTCTCGCCGAGTCTGTTTTACGTGCTACATACTTCGGGGAAACCACTGTCGGCCGCGCGTTTCCTCGCCCAGCCGAGCTCTCTCGCCAGTTTTCAGGAAACGAACGTCGATCGGCGCCGGCAATTACACAATCGTTACCCAGGGAACGCGGAGAGCCGATGCTCGGCTCTGCCGTTTATTTAAATAAACTCGATGACGCGTTTCCGCGGTACCAGGGTCGAGAGCAACGTTTTGGAGAAAAATCGCTCACGTGCCGTTTAACACCTGACCCACGCGTCACCGCGATCAAACAATGCGCGCCCGTCCCGAGCCGAGATTCTAAGAAACGCGGCCTCCCGCGACACGCGAAATCTCGCGCCGTCCAGAAATAGTTGCACAAAACTGGTTACCATTCACCGAATTCCGTTTTACAACGTTAATCCGAGCAACAGGCGTACGCTTCGTATCGCGTATTCTCGCGAACGCGTCGCGAATCGCCGCAAATAAAACTCTCTACGATATACACAGATGTACGTGTGTACCGCGAAGCGGAACAAGCGGAATAATTTTTCAAGCGAAATTCCAAAGCGAGATAGACCAATTTGCTATTCGTACTATTTGCTATTCGTATTACCAAGCACTGTGTGCGATGCCCTCCGGAGAAACGGCTTCGAGACCAGCGACGTATATCCGCTGGCAGTCGCTTCCGGGACGATATTAACTCGCTCGCGATTCCTTTCGACAATGAGATCGAAACGGCAGCTGCGCCCTTTTTCACGTATAACGAAACTGGTAAACTTTTGCCGGATAGGCGCGCGGGTAGGCAGACGAACGTTCCCCGTTTGTTAAAACGAGTATTATCGATCGTAGCACCGGTCGATATATTATTCCATGTTGCGAAACGAGCGTGTGCACACGTTTACGGTATCCGGGGAGTACGTGGACGAACCGAATCACACCGTCGACCGCCGTCGCTTCTTTCTTCCTTCGGGAGCAACAGCATACTGTGCGTTCCGCTCGTTTCCGTGAGGCACATACGGAGCAGGCAACGAAGAGAGGGCTAAAGGCAACGCGTCGCGTGTGCGAACGCGTCACAAGACGCTGCCGGAGACGTACGATTCATTACAAATTCAGTATTATTTGGATAAGTGCAGGATATTAGATGATAAGGGATTCAACGACTTCGCGGCGCATTGTTCGAATCACGCGTTAACGGTGTTCGTATCTCGAGCGCGCGATTCGATATCGCGTTGTCGGCTCCGATTCAACTTTTCGGGGATACTTTTTGACGCTCGAGGTCCGTTTGCACGCGGACTATAAATATTTCTGGCAATTTTAATTAAAATCGCCGGCAGTTTCGCTGGGGTTTGTATCAAATCTCGCGAGTCTCGAAGAGGTACGAATAAAGGTTGAAAAGGTTGCTAAATAGAATTATAAATGATCCTAAGCTTATCGAGTTATACCTTTATCGAAAAGGTTCGCTTGTTCGAGGATCGATCCTCGGCAAAGATCGTTTAATCTCTCGGATCGAGCATTAAGAGTTTCCACACACTGACCGACCGTTTTAAAGTTTACAGAAAACAGTGAGAAACAACATAACATATATCGTTTCATTACCAGATCGTAAATTCCGCGCGTTTCTCGGACTTTGAATCTTCTAAAATTCGTTACAGAGTAAATTCTCCCTAATTCTTCTTTTCAGCTAGTAAACGAAAATGGACAACTTGGGAATCATCGATTGTCAACAATTATAAAAACGAGGGGGGAGGGGATTTACCGTAATACCTAAAATATTTGAATTAGACTTTCATATTATTTCTCGAACGTGATAGGATTCGCAACGTCCTGCACGATAATCTTGCAACGAATGTACGAAGTTATTAAAGGGGAGGAAATAGAATTCCGCGCACAAGTTTCTTAATTCTGCGTACGCACGATTATTTTCAATTCGACGAGGTAACAGACGTATTTTCATCGACTACCGTGTTCGCGGCAAAGTCAATTTGTTTAAGCTTCGCGAGATTCGATAAGACTGTTTCCTTATCGAGTGTGGTTCGATAAACACAGCTTCTCGGTACAATATACTTTGTGTACAGACGAGAGCGTAGAATTTACCTGCTACCTTACGAGCCTGCTTTATATTTCAAGATCTATCGTCGGGGGCCGATCGCGGCGTAAGACCTGACCTTACTCAATATTAAATTCAGCAATTAATGGAATCGAGCCACCGCGATCGATACTCTATCATACGGCAGATCTTTTCTATCGAATTCTCGTTGCTATTAATCGACCGATACTACACGACGCGATGTTTAATACAGAAACGAACTAGCGAGGATCCGTTCGTCCTATCTTTAAGGCTACGGTAAATTGTCCCTAATTTTTCTTCAGGCTTGTAAACAAAAATGGACAATATAGGTAGAGGAGATACGATTATTCGAGCCTCGCGCCTCGTTCTTACGATTATAAAAACGAGATGCAAGGCTCGAATAGTCGTATCTCCTCTGCCCAAATAGTCCATTTTTGTTTACAAGCCTGAAGAAAAATTAGGGAGTGTTGAAATTTTATATATAGCCTGAACAAAAATTAATTTATAGTTTACTTAGTAAGATATCTTCAGTTAAGATATCGGTTTACATTTCGCCGGCTCCGTCAGCGGGCAGCGACGGTGACGTAAACTGTATATATTAGATGCCGCGATACATCGTCGCCGGTACCTTTTGATATACATCGTGCCCTGACTGTTTGAGGGTCCCAGCGTCACGTATACAATGTAAAACGCGACAAATAAAACGTCTCTGATCGGTGGACACGACGAACCCAAAAAGGGTATAAAAGAAGCGTTTCTTCTTACCGGACACTCAGTAGAGTTTGGTCGCTCGATCGGTTTCGCTCATATACCTTCTCTCAATACAGGATTAAAATAAAGTCTT